AAGATAAGTACAGACGTCTCCGCACCGATCTACTAGACTCTACTAAAACCCGCTTATTACTCGTAACACCTATGAACCTAGAGCTCTAATACAAATTTGTCACGACCCCAATATCCCTCTATATGATGTCGTGATGGCACCTAGTCTCTACGACTAGGTAAACCTAATATTTGATATAAATTAAACAGAGCTAAATGACAAAATACTCAAACCTAATTTGATAAACTCATATAACTACTAAAAAAGTAAAATCTCAAACGTACAATCCCCAAGAACTGTGGAACAGAGTCATAAGCACTATGGAATAGCTAAAATATCAGATACACCACTATTTGCGAGCAAATACAACAGTAACTAAGAGTAAGGGAAAGGGACTCCAAGGCTTGCGAACGCCGAGCAGACATACCTTGAAGTCTCCGATAGAAGCAGCTAGCAGGGGTCTCTATCGACTGACACGAGTAGAAGTACCTGGATCTGCACAAAAATATGCAGAAATGTAGTATGAGTACACCACAACGGTACCCAGTAAGTATCAAGCCTAACCTCAGTAGAGTAGTAACGAGGCTAGGTCAAGACACATACTAGGATATAAATAAGCAATACGAAAATGAAATATGGGTATAAAATGGGAACTGAAGAAACAACTGATTCGAAATAAGGTAATAGCATGAACTAGTACCAGAAATCAACAGCGAAAATAGCATGATAAAGAAGAAACTAAAATCTACAACGATCATGTACAGACAACAACGGATAGAACAATAAAGAATGAAACAACAAGATATATATCCCACTAAAACACTTTGCAGCATCAAATAAACAACAAGAATCGCATCGAGGTACCGCCTCGTGTATAATAAAATCAAAACGGAGGTACTTTCTCGTATTCGCATTTATCAATATCAATTACAATCTTTCCTTATACCACCGTGTGCGCCTTACATTTGAAAATAAGTTTTGAAAATAATTTTTCCCGAAATAGCTACACGCACTTTAACCCATCTTATTACGCAGTGTATCTTCACGTAGTTCCCCTACAACCAACACGCACATAAGTCCCATCTTATACCGCCGCATGCACATCAACTCCAAGCCTTATACCGCCGCATGCACGTCAATAACATATCACAATAACAATTCGCACCACAAGTGCCCCTCTATAATAACTTGCTAACAACAACAATATCAATGTTTTAACAACAATAGCCCACGGCTCCACCACAACGTATACAAGAATATCAACAACAACAATGAATAAAAATGCTCAATAACATAGAGGTTTCAATAATAACCAACATCGCCTCAATGTATTAACGACTTTTACAACTTCAACACCAATGAACTCAGCAATGAAAGAAATAATGCATAACCACGATATTAGCTAAGACTAATTTGCAATTAAGGAGATAATAGTTAACAATGAGCCTCAATTAATGGAAATCCACAAGGAGATAATGTGAACAATTACTTCAAGTAACGAATATAATATGGAAAGAGATAACACGGACAATAACTTCAAATAATGATGATTATCAATGAAGAGATATCATGTAACAATTAAAAGAGACAACAAGTTCAACTAAGCATGAAAGCAATTAATCAAGTAGGTTATAGAACAAGTTCTAGGCAAGAAAACTAAGGAATGTACGGATAATCAAATACAATTAAGGATAAATTGACTATGGGGATTTAGAACATGGTATGGCATTTCAATTAAGCATGTGAATAGTCTAAATAGCCTAAAATGATCAATTACCACGTACCACCCGTATACCCACTTATCACCTTGAGTACATAGATTTCAGTTAGCATAATTGGATAACCAATAGCAAACCTAAGGGGTAGTTCCCCCACACGAAGTTAGGTAAGACACTTACCTCGACTAAGCCAGCTCAACCCTCGAAAATCGCTTTTCGCTTAAAACACGCCTCCACACGGCTCAAATCTACCCAAAATTAACTCAACCAACCAATGCATCAGAAAACAATTACAATAAATAAACCTTTGATCTTTACACTTTTCTCAAAAAGTCAACAAAAGTCAACCTGGGACTCGTCCGGTTAAAAGACGGGTCCAATGGTAGATTTCGTCTGCCCATAACCCCACGAGTTCATATATGTGATTAGTTTCAAAATTCGAGTCAAGTTCGACTCTTAATACTAATTTCTTATTTTTCAAAAACTAGGTAAAATTTCACAAATTTTTACTTTGATTCACATGATTTTGATGTTAAAATCCAAGATATGTTAATGAAATATGATTAGAATTAGGTTAGAATTACTTACCCGAGGTTTGTATGTGAAAATCTCTTCTCCAATTCATCTCCTACCGAGTCTAGGGTTCAAAAATGAGAGAATGAACTCAAAAATCCCGTCTCCCAACTATTTGATCAGTTGTAGATGTCGCAATTGCAACATGGGTTCGTAATTACGAATAAAGCCTCAAAAATGTGGACTGAAGGCTTGAGGAAACACTTCGCAAATGCGAAGATGGGATCGCATGTACGACCCCGGTTGCCCTTGCAATTGCAACAACATCATCGCAATTGCGAACCTAGCCCATCCCAGAAGACCTTCGCAAATGCGACCTATTGTTCACAATTACGAACTATGTGCAAATCCTAACTGCTTCGCAAATGCGAAGGTGAGGTTGCAATTGCGACATCAGCCCCTCTCCTGTTACGTTCGCAAATGCGAGCCTGGTATTCGCATTTGCGACACCAGAGTACCAGACATAAATTTTCTGCAATTTCCAGTCCAACCCACACCAGAACATATTAGAAACTCATCCGAGCCCTCGAGGCTCCAAAATAAACTTTCACACAAGTCTAAAAACATCATATGAACTCGCTCGTGTGATCAATACACAAAAATAACATCTAAAACTATAAATTAAACTCAAAAATGCATGAAATTCGAAGAAATTTTCAAGAGCTTCTAAAATTACGACTTAGCGTCTGAATACTACAAATCAACTCCGATCGATGCCAAATTTTGCAAACAAGTTCTAAATTGCATAACGGACCTATTCCAAGTCCAAAAATTGAATTCCGATCTCGATAGCTAAAAGTCAACCTACGGTCAAACTTTTCAACTTTAAATTGCCAAATTTTTGCAAATCAACACAAATCAACCTACGGACTTCCAAAATCAATTCCCCACATACGCCTAAGTCCGTAATCATGATACGAAACTATCAGACTCATACATATACAGTTCTGGGGTCGTTTCACAAAAGTCAAAGTTTTGGTAAATATTTTCAAATTAAAGTTTCTAAGTCGTGAATCAAGGGTCCAAATCAACCCGAAGGCTTCCCAGAACAGAACTAATCAACCCCGCAAGTCATAAAAGCTTAAACTCATATGTGTGAAGCATGAAAAGGGAAAACGAGGCTTAATTACACAAAACGACCGATCAGGTCGTCATAACTATAAATACGTAGATTGTATTCTACAGTTAGCTATGTAGTAAAATAATTAAGCAAGAGATTGAATAAACAAATTAATATGATTAAATCAGGTAATCTCAACAACCATCAAACATCAATATTCAAGAACGACCCATAACCCTAGAACAAAAGGTATTTTAGCTACTCATGATCATAGGAACAATCAAAATATTTTTTGAACCATAAAAACTATAAATACTAGATTAAGGATGGAAGATGAGATGATTCCTTGCTCCGTTTATGTTCCTTAGCCCTTCTTGCCTTCATAATAACGTCCACCCCCTTCTTAGAAATGCATAGGGGGTATTTATATGTTAGGGCCCAAGTCTCCAAGTCCAAAATCAACAAGGAAACAATCTTCTCTTAGGCACGGGCATGGGTGCGAGATAGGGCGAGGTGCCAACCTCACGAGTCCTGGAGAGAAGCAAGGACACAATCTCGCGACGCCAGGTAAGGCGCAAGCTTGAGCTCGCCCTAGGCCAAGTGGGTTGCGGCCTAGGGCCTAGTCTCCTCCGTGCCTTGCGTTGATTTCCCTTTCGTGCTCTATTTTTGTATTTTCAATATCATTGTGTGTAACTTTTATTTCACTTTGTGATCAAATGGTCCTACACATAAAATCAACTCAATTACCCTCAAATGTTGCACATTTATCACTAGAAGACCAAAATGTAACGTAAGTCATGTACTATACCATAGAATTATAGCCAAATATCATTGATTATCTAGCATAATATGTGAAATAACTCATAAAGGGGAATATGACTGCTGAAAATGCTATCAAAAAGGCCCCACCTGACCATGTGTCGCTAATTAGCCTGACCCTTTTTAAAATTTTGTATTTTTTTAATTTTCTCCTTATTTTCTTTATATTATAAGCTTCCTTCCTCATTTTTTTTCCATCTTTCTTCTTCATCTTTTTACCTTTCTTTTTTATTCTTCAACTGAATTCCTCTAAAAAAATCTCCATGTCGTGTTTATTCTTAAATTTTTTAACCCCTTTCTTATTTTACTCTTATCTCAATCCTTAGCCATGTCCCTAAGATGATATCTCTTGGGTTAGTCGGATGGTTTGGATCATGCTCCTTCACAATGTTCTTACGATAAAATTTTTGTGATCGTTTCTTTTTGGCCTTTATTGAGGATTTGGGCTTAATTTCTTACGATAAAATCTTTGTGATCGTTTCTTTTTGGCCTTTAGTGAGGATTTGGGTTTAATTTCTTTATTTAATTTCAATTCTGAAATATCCTCCTTGTAATTTGCCAGTTGGGTTTGATATAACCCATACAACTGTTTTGTTCAAAATTAACTTAATAAAGTTCTCTTCCATTCTTGTTCTTCGTTACTTTACTGATCTAAATGCAATTGTATGGTGACGTATAAAATTTCATTAAATTTTTTTTTTCTCTTTGCAGATTTTGATTTATTCTTTAAAAGATTTACTTTTTTCTTGAAAGCGTGATTTGTGTGTAAGAGAGGGGGGAGGGGGAGATGCGCAAGAGAAGTAATAAAGAAAATAAAACGAAGGAGAAAAAGTTGCTTAAAAAATCGTCTGCAAACTCATGTTCTTTGCTGGGAAACGTAGGGTTATAGAAGAAAAAAAGAAAAGAAGAAACAAAATAAAAGGAAAAAGAAAAGAATAATTAGAAAAAGAAAACAGAATAATAATTAAACACGTTTTTACATTAAGCAAAGTTATATAGACACGCGTCGTGCCACATAGCATTTGTTTTACTAATTAAGAACGTGTACTAAAAACAGCTCAAACAATATGACGAGGGGGTTTTAGTATGAAGGAGAATATGGTTCTGGGAGTTTTCGTAACACTGAATAGTTACAGTAGGAACTAACAAAAGTTGGATAGTTTAAGGGAGTTTTAGAGTATTATAATTTAAGCTCCGGAAGCAAGTCTGTTAGAAACAAATGAAACACAACCTAAACAACTCGCGATCAAGCAAATTAGTATATGTTTAGTTAGCCAAAACTTACCTTTCTTCAATTTGTATCCCATTTTCTTTCTCATTTCTACAAGAGTCTATCCCTTTGGAATGTTTCTCTCTCGGAAAGGCTCTGTGATTCGTTTACTTCCGCTTGTGGATATGCCAGAAGAAATCGTTCTTGAAATGTCTACTCCTTCAGATGAGGTTCTTGGACTTTCAGAAAGAGGGGATCTAATTGACTCATTGTTTGGCAGATTATTCAGGGAAGCCTTGGTAGAATGTCCATTGCATTTTGAGCATGTGGAGCTCGGCTCCTTTTTATCTTCAACTGCGTCTCCATTACTCCTGCATCGCGGAATTCCTTTTAAGTATAGCAAGAAAAACCAAGAAATATCTGAATACACAAAGTATAATCAACTTAAAAAATCAAAACACTGAGAACATGGCATATTATTTCAGACTAGAGAAAGGCTAGTAAACTGTAAGGAAATCTCTGATTCTGTTAATTATCCACACAATTGCTAAGGCATATCCCTCTTTCGATAAATACTAAAACCACTTTAGTGGGAAGAAGTCAGAATGTTATCAAACAAGCAGCAAGTGGGGCTACTCAGCAAGTCACAAAATTGTTGCCATAAGTTCTAAAACACAGTAGATCTTCAATATAATGGTGATCATTATTGTCAATGTAACTTACAAGGAGTTCTTTTAAGTAATTTCAGAATACTGATCTATTCGAGTGGTGAAAAATATGTGGAAGGGTTAAGAAAGAATTAAACATAAGTTAACAGGATAATACGCCAAGATAACCATGGACATAGAAGCACAGGAAGGTCATTACAACACATTGTAGAGATTGTTAAAGCCTAGACAATTTGGAGTCTACTACCCCCACGATCATAAGAAAGGAGAACAATATGAGAAAGGTCTAAGAAATTACTAACATAAGAATCAAATGGATGATATGTCTAACGAAGGTTGACATGCGAGGCCAGGAATATTGTTAAAAGACAGGTTAAGTAGGCAGATATCATTAAAAACTACACAGTGCGGAAACTTAGTTGAGATATAATCGTGGTTTCTCAAGGCCATAATTTTTTCCAAATTCAAAGAAAGTTTAAGGTTCCACACAGAAGAAACTCCTATTAAGTATTTACTGCGTAGAAAACAACATTCAGTGTAGCAAGTGTAACCAAAATACCAACCTCTCTGCAGTGAAACATGATCGCTTTAAGGCAGGCACTCGTTCCTTGGGGATAGTAGGTTCCATCCAGCTTCCACAGAAATATTCCTCATTTTCCAACCCCATTAACCTCTGATTCCTTGTCAGGCAATCAAGCTTCCCTAAACTTAATCTTGGTTTGTATGTATGTATAAGGCCAAATCTATGATCCTCCACTGAAATTGATCCACAAGAGATTAGTTGCATTAGCATATTCGAAGGCTTTAGTTTTGCTGATGAACCCCGACCCTCTTTGCTGGCAAGTGTCTTAAAGCTGCTGAGCTTGCTCACATCCGATCTGATGAGAGATATCAAGGTATCTGATCTACCACCATCGCTGGCCCTACATATATCTGCAGACTCATTTGTCATTGAAACACCTTTTCTGCTTCCATTTTCCTGATTTTGAGTGGAAGCATCAGCCAGGCCAACAGTATTATTGATCTTGTTCTCTTTCAACCTTAACGAACCATTACACGAAGAACATTTAACAGAACTGGACTCTGCGGTTACATCCAAAGAACCTGGAATTGGAACTGATGGTTCACCTTTACAAGAATTCTTCGCACATGTGCTAGACAAAGGAGAGGAATTATCTTGGCTTCTAGAGGATGGAGGTTCTGGTAATACTTTCGGATTTGACAGTCTCTCGTTTTTCGCTGGACTGCAGTGACCTGGAGAAAGAAAAACGTGAGGCCCAGCTATACCTGTGGTTTCAATGAAGAATTGATGCAGCCATACTTGTTACTTGTTCTTCTCCCCTCCAAAAAATAGATCGAAATAGTTACCTGAATTGGATTCTTCACAAAGCTCTGAGCCTTTGAGAACATATTCATTACCATGAGCAGGAAGAATTAGGTCATCTTCACAAAGATCATGCCACACAAATCTATTCTTGTAGCTTCTGTATATATAAGCAATCTCAGAATTGTGAAGTGCGTATTACAAATAGAACAAAAGACAAGTAAATACAAAAAGTCTTGGACTAGTTTTTACCTCTTACAGGACCAAGAGTACAACGAAGCCATTCCTCTGCCTCTCAAAACGTTAAACCTCTCGATTACATCTTCAAAAGTGCAAGAACACATATAAATTAAAGCAATGACCAGAATTTCTGACTTAGTTACTTTAATCATATTCATCAAATGTATCTAAATGAATAATCAGAGCCATATTATATTACCTCTCAAGTGTAGGCCATCAGGTGAAGACAGGGGTACTTCCATGAAATGAGGATGCTCAAGCCGTTGATTTCTATATAGATAATATACCACTGGCACTTTGCCATCATTCTTCTGGGGCTGCTGCTGCACATATTTGGGCGATTTCTCTGTCCACACTTTAGCTCTCTCTGGACTCAATTGCCTATACTTCTTCATACGCTCTTCCATTTCAAATAACTAATTCTACTATTTTTCAGTCAACGCTAGCTTCTGCAGTTAGGGGCGGATGCAGCGTAGGAGTGCCGGGTTCAACTAAATCCAGTATTTTGGACACGGAATATAAATTTATGGGTAAAAATCTACCAAAACTAGTAAATATAAACCTATAGCTTTTAAAATATAATATGTTCAATGTTAAGAATTTTGGAGGTTGAACTCGTAGAGTTCGAATCCTAGATCCGGCTATGTCTGCAGTATCAATTCCACACCCATAGATTCATGATTTTCCAATGAAACCTTAGGTCAGTAACATGTCTCCTCACGTACGTACCTGCCTTCTTTTCTCTAGCCAAACATGTGAAATTATTTTGTTAATGAGTGGTAGTGAGCCTCCAACTGAGAACCTCTGCCTACTCTGTTCCACATTAGACTAATACCACATTACAGTATATGAATATCTCATCTAAAAACTTTACTTAGATAGGAAACTTTATTTTGATATGAAAAGATCAAATGCGTAAAACCCATAAAGAAAATGTATTACACAGCTGAAAGAGACAGCAAACAACCATTCTACATTTTCTATTTTCATATATCAAAAATTTCCTTGAGAAGTAGCCACTATACAAAAAAGTGCAAAGCCAACTTTGCAACAGTATTCTGACAGATAAACGCCACGACCATGTCCTCAGTGAGATACGTAAAGAGTAGAATAATGAAAGAAGCTTTTCTTTCTTGCTTTCTTTTTACACCTTTGATTCATCTTTAAAAGAATGTGCTGCTCCTGCCAATCGTCGTGGCTTTGTGCTTTTTCTCAACTTCAGCTATGGATTTTTCTCTCATTTTTCTCTTCTGTTAGCTGGAGTGGAATCTTTTTCACCCATCTGTGGAGTAACTTTATGTGCCCTTTTATAGGAATAGTTAATTGATTTGGATTTGGTGCCTTCCAGTCTGTTTTCTCTTACTTTTTCTTGCCTCTTCGACTCTTCCTAATGTTTCATATTCAATGTTAACCCCTAAGTTTAAAATATACTTCTAAATGAAGCATAATGGCTGAAAATAATGCTAATTTAAATGAATAACTATGTAATTTATTCTCTTGAAGCGGTCATTTAATGTTTGTGGTGCATAAATTTAGTCTACTCAGCATAAGTTGAGCATTTGATCATTGTATTCCAAATCTGAGTTTGAAATTCATTTCATTACATTCATTTGAATTTAAATGATGTTGTGAACAAACATAGAGATTAATATATCGAGGTAGTGAAAGAAAACATTACACTAATAGTTGAGAAGTTAGTTTGATAATGAAAGCAACATATACAATTTTAATTTGCTTAATTTAATTTATTTGAGTTCTTGAAAATGGTGAAAGTCGGAAATATAGTTGTTTACCCGAAAAACGGATAGAGATGAATTTGTACGTAGTTCTAAGGGTATGTGGTATAACTTGACACAAATCGTAAGAGTAAATAGAAAATATAGAATATTGACTGTAAAGAATAAAAAATAAGCAGAGTTAAAAAGAGAATGATTTATGGATTTAGCAAGATGAATCAATCTATGAAGCTAAAAAAGGATAATTCTTCAATATGGTAGTGTATGATATCTGAGTTACAATGTATGCGAAACTTTCTCCTTTATAGAAATATAGTTATCCCTTTTATAGTGGGGGATCCTACTTTAGATATAATTTAAAATACATAGTGGGAAACACATTATAAATCAGTTTTCCCTAATTTCCGCCGAGATTCTCTCCCTTAGTGCGGCTGCAACGGCTCTTATCTATAAGCTCGATCTTGATCGGACTCAGCATTGGTCGGTTTCCAGTTTTAGAGCTCGATGCGGGTTTGAGGTCGATGCCGACTCGGAGTCCGGTAATGACTTGGGCTCGGTATCGGTTGGCCTCTGGCCCTTAAGCTCGATTCCATCACATCTCATCATAGTTCGATTCGGACTCGAGCTCGATAATGACTTCGAACTCGGTATTTAACCTGTACCTGAAATTTGAAGCTCGTTTGTGCCATCTTCGGATCCAATCTCGATGGTATGAAGACATTCTTCGGTCCAATATGATCCCATCTTGATCAGTCGTACGAAGCCCGAAATCAATTTCGACCATATACTGATAATCCCCTCATTTCTCGGGAAGGATGTGGCGAGAAACGATATGATTTTCCAACGGCTCGATTGGATATGCACTGACGTTTGCATCGAGCCCGACCATGACGTACGTGATAGTTGTCCCGTTGATTTAGTTTACCAAGGCATTTAATGCATGTCAGACGGTGGTCGGCTACCGCTGATATTGGACCGTCATTGCTCAATCTATAAATAGCCCCTCCTTTTACCATTTATCACTTTTACATCTTGAATCTCCAAATTTTTCAAGTTTTTCTTTTGAGTTCATCTGTAAATCTGTAATTTTTTATTGCAAAATCTTTCTTCAAAAACATCAAATCTTTGTTACCTTCTTCTATTTTCGATCTTTAAATCCAAAATGGAAAAAACATCAAAAACCATTCCTCAAAAAGAAAAAGCTTCTTCTTTACAGTCTGCCGCCGACAAAACACCGGTGGAGCCACTTCCTGAGGAGTGCGTTCCTAGGGCGTGTGTTCTTACCTCTGATTTTAAGGTCGAGAAAGACTTGTCGGTTCCTGGCCGATGTGAGCCAGTATCGAGGTATATATGTTCGATAACCGAGGGGTACCTTGAACAGAAAAGAAAAAATTACAATTGGGAGAACAAAGAAGTAGTAATCCCGACTCCTGAAGAAGATATCACCACCCATGTGAAAGGGTTTTAAGTGTGTATACTTACCCTTTCACGTTAGGTCCTCTCGACCCTATTGGGGGAGGATGGATGAAGTGGAGGTTAGCATCTGGAGTCCTGTGTGACAAGAGAGTGCCACCGATACTCAAAGGTAAGTTTTATAAAGCGGTGGTTAGACTGGCCATGATGTATGGGGCTGAGTGTTGGCCCGTTAAGAACTCACATATCCAGAAGATGAAAGTAGCTGAAATGAGGATGTTGCGGTGGATGTGCGGGCACACTAGGATAGATAAGATTAGGAATGATGATACTCGGGAGAAGGTGCATGTGGCTCCCATCGATGACAAGATGCGGGAAGCGAGACTTAGATGGTTCGGACATGTTCAGAGGAGAAGCCCAGATGCTCCGGTACGGAGGTGTGAGCAGCTGGTTACGGAGGGCACGAGAAGAGGTAGAGGGCATCCTAAGAAGTATTGGGGAGAGGTGATCAGGCAGGATATGGCGAGGCTCCAGATTTCCGAGGACATGACACTTGATAGGAAGATGTGGAGGTCGAGTATTAGGGTTTTAGGTTAGGAGGTAGTTGAGTTGTGCCTTACTTTGTAACATGGTGGGACTAGCCATGTAGGGTTTTTATCTAAGATAACTAGTGGGAATGTTGTGGCTTACTAGTTCGCTTTTCAGTGCAGGTCCTATTTACTAGTTATCGCTTTTGCTTTACATCTTTCTTCTAGATTTCATGGTGTTCCTATTTTTCTTATGACTGTTGTGGTGATACCAATATTTACTAATATTGCCTCCCTTTCTTTGCATCTTTCTTCTAAATTTTATGGTGTTCCTATTTATCCTATGATTGTTGTTGTGATACTAATATTGTCTCCCTTTTTGCCCTTTTGTCTTTTTGTTTTTTTAGCCGAGGGTCTTTCGAAAACAACCTCTCTACTCCTTCAGGGTAGGGGTAAGGTCTGCGTACACATTACCCTCCCCAGACCCCATTAGTGGGATTTTACTGGGTTGTTCTTGTTGTCTGCCATCAATACCAAATAACCCTCGGCCAGATCCATCTTTCTTCTTGGCGGATCGTTATTTTGGTTCGTTTCTTCGTGAACAGAATCGAGGGGATGCATTTCACCCTCGACCATCTCATTCGATTGTACTGCCCTCGCCTCTTTCGAGGTGGGTTAATAAAACTTCAGCATCGGGCTACCAAGGTTTGATTCTCGAGCATAGACGAGGACAAGGATCGAGGCGGGATGGGCAGGTTTGTTCGAGTGAAGACTTCGGACCTGATTCCCTTAGGTTTTATGGCCCTTATGTTTTAAGGACACATGATTTTACCTAATACCAATTGATAAATATGATGATTAATTATAGAAATTAACAGTAAAATAAAGCAAACTAGTATTGAAATGCAATTCGACCCTCGAGCTAGATCGCCCTCGAACCGACTGAGTAACACTATATTAACTGATGAACAAGAGAGTATAAGAGATAAAAGAGTATTGTATTGCTTTGATATGCGAGAGTTAGATGGTTACATATGATTAGAACTCCCCTTTATATAGTAGAGGAATTCCATTTATGGTACAATTCTAATTACAGAAGAAAATCACATGATTAGCTAAATAACCGTTCTTGATTTGATCCATTCCAAGATTTTCGCCATGATCCTCGAATGGTTACGGATATTTCGGCTATCCGTTAGCACGCTATCTCCGGTCTTACTCGATGTCTGTCCTGTTTGGCCTCGATCATCATTGGTCTCGATCTTTGACTAGTACTTCGAATCCCGAGCTCGGTACCTCATCTTCATGTCTTGGTCCGATGTAATACGGGGTCGATCCTTGAGCCACCATCTTTGTCTAGGTTAACCAACAAAATCGGGTGAGCCCGGTTTTAACCGTATACAGATAGTCCCCTCATTTTTTGGAGTGTAATGACAAGATTTGAATTGAGTCTTCGACTTTTATCTCGATTTGTCATGATGTCATCACCGTGACGTAAGCGACAGAAGTGACCAAATATTATCATCTTCATACTTCTTTAACCCTAAAAGTAAATGGAAAAAGTGTCAAAGACTATGCCACAAAAGGAAGCCGCTTCATCATCTCGGCCGGCCGACGAGAAAACACCGGTGGAACCATGCCCTGAGGAGTGTGTTCCGGGGGTTGCGTCATTAGTTCCGATTTTAAGATCGAGAAAACGTTTTCAGTCTCCGGTCGATGCGATCCGGTATCGAGATACATATGCTCGATACCTGAGAACTTCCTCAAGCTAGTGAACAAAGATTGTAACTGGAAAGGCAAAGATGTGGTGATGCCGGCCCCCGAAGAAGACATCACTACCCACGTGGAAAGGTTTTTGAGTGTTTACACTTACCCTTTCACGCTGGGTCCCCTCGATCCAGTTATTTTGGACTTCTGCTATAAATACCAAGCGATCTTAGGACAAATCCACCCCTCATTTTGGAGGATTGTCATACTGCTCCAATTTTTTGTGAGCAAAATCGACGGGCTCCCCTTTACCCTCAACCACCTTATAAGGTTATTTAGCCCCCGGATCTACCGAGGTGGGTTGATAAAACTCCAATGCCAGGCCACCAAGTCTTTCATATCAAGCATAGATGAGGACAAAGACCGGGGTTGGATAGGTCGATTCATCCGGGTGAGGACCTCAGACCTGATTCCGGCTGAGAGAACGTCGTTCCCCGAGAGATGAAACATGAAGCGTAAGTATAATTTATCAGTTTCTGCATGTTAGTTTCATTTCTTCACTTTCTCTTATCGACACTCTTTTTTGGTGTAGCTGCTGCCTGGATGCCGGGGGCAGTTCTCCATCTCGAGAGCTGGGTCAGGAGTCTGGTTTCGGCCTCAACGTATGCTGAGTGCGCATGGAGTGATTTATCGAAAGGGTGGTGGGAAGCCAAAAACCATGGTAAGCCTTTTTCATGTGTATAATGATTCGATTAAAACATTCCTCCAAACTAACTCAATTTCTTCTTCTGTAGGTCTCGGCAAAGATGCAGTCATGAGACCCCCCTCTAGTGAAGAAGAAACCCCTCTCCTCGTCCTGAAGCCGGCAAAGGAGAGCAAGAGAAA